GTAAGCTTACATCCAGTATACCATACTTGTATAGGTGCATAGCTAAAACAAATTCAGCTGCAATATCCCTTATGATGTCAATGTGTAATAATAATGCAGCCAAATGGACAATAAATATCATCACACAAAGAGACAAAAAAAAAAAACACTTACAAGAATTAATGTTAAATTAGTATCAGTAAGTGTATGTGGATCATATATAATACATGGCAGAGATTTATATGTGCTTGTTAGTAACATGTGACATTTATACACACCCAGAAAAAATGTCAGGTCTGTCCTTAATCAACTCTGCATGAACATATTACACACGTAATTGTCATGGCAGGGCAGGAGTGCGAACTAAAAGAAGCTCTGTAAAAATTCTATACCAGCCCAATAATGGGTCGCACCAGCATAGTGCACAGACATAGAGGTGGAAAAGATAACTTAACATTGATTTCTAAAAAGTATTACTCCAACGTGAAAGAAAGCACTCATAGGACTTCAAGATAAACAAAAGAGCGGATTTATTTTAAGCAGACGTGTATTTGCATATAATCAATGTTTCAGTCTGACTACATTGACATATTAAGGAAAGTTTGGTAATAAGACTGAAATGTTGAATGTGTGCTGTTGCACAGCTGTAAAAAAGTTATCTTGTTTATCTTGAAGTCCTATGAGAGTGCTCTTCACTTTGAATATGTTATTAATGCTGGAGTGCACCTACTGTGAGGGAAAAAAAGTATTTGACCCTCTACTGATTTTTAACTTTTGTCCACTGACAAAGAAATGATGAGTCTATAATTTAAATGGTAGTTATATTTTAACAGTGATAGACAGAATAACAAAGAAAAACAAACCCAGAAAAATGCATGTCAAAAAACTTATAAATTGATTTGCATGTCAATGAGGGAAGTAAGTATTTGATCCCTTATCAATCAGAAAGATTTCTGGCTCCCATGTGTCTTTTATACAGGTAATGAGCTGAGATTAGGAACACTCTCTTAAAGGGATAGCATTCAATCAATCAGATTCTAAACTCTCCACCATGGCCAGGGGCGGACTGAGAACCCTCAGGGCCCCCGGGCAAAATAAATCAAGGGCCCCCTTACAGGCCCCACCCATACTCTGCAGCAAGCGCCACCCTTGTCCCGCCTCCAGCCACACCCTACACAATCTTTAGACACAAGGAACAAAAGGGCAATAAGCCCTTCGAGGCCTCAGCAGAGACTACAATTGAGGGCTAATGGGCCATGGAGGGGGGGTCTTTCTAGCGGGGGCTATCTCAGTGTCCTTTAGAGAGTGTGTTAGAAAGAATCCTCTCCAGGCCCCATTAGAGACTACAATGGAGTCTAATGGGGCCTGGAGGGTGGTCTCTCCAACACTCTGGTTTATATTCACAATATAGCAACACAACATAGCTCGCTGATACCTAGGCCAAGTTGGCTCTTCTTACCTTAATTACTGTTGCTGGCTGGCAGTCTGTGGGCTTGCTTGCTGCGGCTGGCAGGCTGTGGGCTTGCTGGCTACTGCCGGCAGGCTGTGGGCTTGCTGACTGCGGCTGGCAGGCTGTGGCTTGCTGGCTGCGACTGGCAGGCTGTGGGCTTGCTGGCATGTAAGCCTGTGGCTTGCTGTAGGCCTGTGGGCTGGCTACTGGCCTGTGGGCTGGCTAACTGGCTGGCTACTGGCCAGCCTGTGGGTTGGCTGGCTGGCTACTGGGGCACTTGTAAATTATTTAAAGAAATAATCTATGCACAATAACCACTACTGCTCCAGAGTAAGTAGTCAAACCATTTAAGAACAGTTTGACAACTTACCTGGGATCTGCTGGGATATGGGGCTGTAGTAGGGAATAGGAGCAGTGGTGCAATGTGTGTGAAAGGTTCAGTGTGTGTGTGGGGGTGTAGTGTGTGAATGTGTAGGGTGTGTGGGCTGTGTATGTGTGTGGCAATGTTAGTATGGGGGGCTGTGTATGGGGGTCTGTGTGTATATGGGTGGGCAGTGTATGTGTGTGTGTGAGGCAATGTGTGTAAATGTGTATGGTGTGTATGCAGTGTGTGAATGTGTATGGTGTGTGTGTGGGCAGTGTGTTTATGGGGCTAGAGTTCACTCTCACCACTGTGACCACCAGGAATCCCTGGGGGTCACAGTGTTGAGAGTGAACACTAGACCGTAGCTCCAGGGCTAGAGCTGACTCTCGCAAGAGCGGTAACGTTGCCATGGTAATCGCGGCAACGCTCTGTGCTCGTGCAAGAAGGACCCAGAGGAGCTGCAGGGTGAGCTCCCAGGTCCTCTCTTCCTCCCTCCCCTGCCCGCATGGTGCCTGCGGACAGGGGAGGGGGGGGGGCAATTGCCCTGTTGCCCCCCTGGATCCACCAGTGATATCTACAGCCCTTCTGTGTGCCTTTTTGTCTCCCCCCGTCCCTCTGTATGTTTCTTCCTCCCCCCCTCCTTCCCAGTCTCTCTTACCCCTCTGCCTCTTTCTCCCTCTCTTCCACTGTTTTTCTCCCCCCTTTCCCTGTCTCTCTCTCCCCCACATCTCTCTTCCTCTCTGTCTCTTTCTCCCCCTCCCTATCCCCCCTCTTTCTCCCCATGTCTCATTCTTCCCTCGTTGTCTCTTTCTCCCCCTCCCCATCTCTATATTCCCCCTCTTTCTCCCCCTGTGTCTCATTCTTCCCCCTCTGTCTCTTTCTCCCCCTCCCCATCTCTCTATTGCCCCCTCTTCCCCCCCTCCCCATCTCTCTGTTCCCCCCTCTTCCCCCCATCTCTCTATTGCCCCCTCTTCCCC